ATCTATCAAAAAAACGAGTTCTTCCATTATAATGCCCGACGAGAACCTAAATTTTGATAGGCATTTCTTACAGCTGAACTGAAAGTTTTACTTTGATGCAACTGTGGACGGGAATTTACAAACATGTATATATAAAATGCACCTGACAGCAGATCTATGTACTTTTAAGGGCACATTATACATCAAAAACAAATATTTACTTCTTTAGAAAGGGCAAATATGAATATTGTAAATGTTAAAATGGCGTTACCTGAAGAAAGTAGCGAATCATGTAAATTAGTTTGTCATAAAAGTAGCAAAATGTAAACACACTTGTATTATGACTTCCATACGGAATACTAATTCACTATAATTGTACTATACTTGAAAAAGAAACATATGAAAAAGACGGTTCAGATACTTGGCCAATAATTTCGTTTAAACTATAAAGGTACACACAAATTAAAAAGCTTTAATGAAATAAAAACAAATGCATTTTTGAGGCATTATGGACCTTTAAACCTCAACAAATGTTTCTGTTTCAAGCTCATGTACATTATGAATGATTATCTAATCTACACAACTGATAAGCTTAACCACGTTTTTGCGACGAACGCGCCCTCAGGCGCGTTCAGAGCTAAGTCATCTACACATGGGATTTCGTCTGCTATGTACAATCGCGCAAAGTGTCCTCAACCGATTAACATCCCAAGAAATAGTACATGAATTTGATCCTTTAAAACTCCAATACTTTGTCGGGATATCTTAAAATCTTCCATATTTAGCCTTTTCAATTTCAAATTAAGTTATCCAAGTTAAAATATGAAAAATATTCTGCTACTCTAGATAATTTTGTTCTAACAAATTTATTCATTTTAATTATTTATATGATTACTCTTTTCTGTATTATTCTAACCAAATATGTGCATATTTTATATTGCAAGTACATTATGTGTGGAAAGGAATTTACATAAGTCACATTTGACTTGTTTTCCAATCCACGAAATATATCAGTGTGTTTATATATGCTTACTGTACATATATATGTTGTAAAAATAGAAATAAAATATTGTTTAAACTAAAATATGAAAGTATATGATTGATAAAAACGTTGTAGTCCCGTAATATTATTGCGCAATATGCAAATAACTGCCGAAACGATTTACCGCTGTCGAAAAAGTAGGACAGCAAATTATACTATAATAAAGGTGTAAGCTCTGAGTTCCAAGAAATTATTAGTAGGAAATAAATATTTCTACATTATACAAAACATTATTATTAACAAATCGAAAGTTTTTCGTGACTCTAGAATAACTCGCGTATTAATAAAAGAAGAACTATTTTCGTGACTCATACCGCGGGTTTAGCTGAATATTCAGCAGTTATTAATAAATTAGATACAGTACAATAGTTAGTATAAATATCTATTTTTGAAAATGCATGTAACAAGAGGGTTTTTCAACACTTTACCACCATGTAGTCTTTCATGGTAATCTTTATTGAAGGAAGTTATAATATCAGTTCTACTTCCGATTCTTGTGGTTTGTTTACATATTTTTCTAGGTCACGATATGAGTTGACCTTCGCTATTCTAAAAAATAGATTCTACTTTACCTGTGCTGATTTTCGGACAGGCGATTAGGGAGTACACATTATACATGTAATAAACCAGCGGATACTTACTTTGTTCACATGCAATACTTTTAGAAATTCTATACAATTGTAAGAAGCAAACAAGTTGAAAATGGAATTCAGTGTGAAAATGAAAAGGACAACTAAACACTGTAGTGCTTAAGTGACATTCAAATTAAAATAAAACGATGTGCTCTGGCCCTTGTAAATAAAAAAAAATCTAAAAAATACACTATTAATTGCTGATGATTTTAACCAAAAATATTTTTAATGAAATATCCAAGAGAAATAAAAATACAAATGACTTATATTTTATTGTCTATATGCCCACTATGTCATAACACGAAGCAATTCTAAATAACATTCTCACATGTATATAATGTATTATGCTTGAAGTTTATTTGCATGGTTTTATTTTAGAAATATTTCGTTGACAGTTTTTATTTACATATCATTTCTTGGAATAAATCGATAAGGACACTGATTTACAAGTTTGACCAGAGTTTTTAGTCATAAATTTCATTCTGTATTTAAATGCTTGAAAGTAGAAAATCTGGATTATATCAGATTGAGACACAAAATATATTGCTCTACAAATCTCGAACTTGTATGGAACAAATTTTCTCTGTTATATATTTTGTATTTTATTTTTGTTTTTTTCTAAAAAAAAAATTAATGTCTCTCCGGTTCATGTCCGTCGCATTCAGTGCTGCAGCACTTTGATTCTCTATATTATCACACTAATTATATATCATTGAATAAACTTCTCTGTCAGTTCTACGTTCGCATGTACATGTACTAGCATCTACGTGCCTTGGTACAAGAACCGGGTAATTTATCCATGGCATTAAAGGGACTCCACTGAGGTTTAAAAGCCTAAAAACAACATTAGAATTTCTTACATAAATAAACTGGGGCCCTTTAAACAGAAAAATATGCAAAGATAGTTAAGAAATATACTTAAAAATAAATCGAAAATCGTAGTTTTATGCTTTTCTTAGCCTAATTTGAGTGAAAAGCGTTTAAACACTTTTCGTTTTGGGTCATTTGTTTACAATTTGAATAATTATTATGGAAAAACGAAGTGCGCGAATGATCTGAAAGTGTGCACAAAGATTCGTGGTCTACACCTACATCAAATGGTACATTTATCTGGAAAAAAATATTTTCAGTCCCATCATGTCAAAAAACCTCAATGGAGTCCCTTTAAGGTTCGTAAATTACTGTACCATTTCCCCTGCAATTATAGAGTATTTTTTCTTAAAGGGAAAACCTGAAAGTAAAACTTTCTTTCTAGGCTAAAGATATTACTGTTGCTCTATTACTTTATTAAAACAAACTGGAAAACGCATATTGACATTTAAATCTTTGTTCTAGCTACAAAATATTTCTATATTAATTCTAAATTGAATGTAGCCAAATTGCTAAACAGTTAATTTTTAATTACAAGTGAGACATAGTCGATTCGTTGTAAAACTAACAAAAAGCAAAACAGTTACTTACGTGTTTTTCTACGGAATGCCGTTAGGGCCATCGCCTATGAATGTGTTGATCTGGAACGCGATAGTCGATAGTACGATGGTGAAAACGCGAAATCACGAAACTACGATGATGAAAACGCGAAATTACGATGATGAAAACGCGATAGTACGATGGTGAAAACGCGACAGTACGATACTACGATGATGAAAACGCGATAAACTATCGTCTTTTCATCATCGTACTGTCGCGTTTTCACCATCGTAGTTCCGTGATTTCGCGTTTTCATCATCGTAGTATCGTACTGTCGTGTTTTTATCATCGTTCTATCGTGTTTTCATCACCGTACTGTCGTGTTTTCATCATCGTACTATCGCATTTTCATCATCGTACTATCGCGTTTTCATCTTCGTACTGTCGTGTTTTCATCATCGTTCTATCTTGTTTTCACCATCGTACTTTCGCGTTTTCATCATCGTACTATCGCGTTTTCATCATCGTAATGTTGCGTTTTCATCATCGTACTGTCGCCTTCCGGTGCGCATGCGCATAGCGAAGAATTTTCCCTCCATGTGACGATTAAAATGTCGGATTCAGAGTCAGAAGGTAAACATTTATTCTGATTCATAAATCTATTTACATTTGTTTATTTAACATCTTTGTTATTATTGAAATAAACTTTGCCGTCTTTCATCTTTGCTGTACAGTACAGTATGGATAAGTTTGTGTCTTAATTCTAATTAACTCGGGGCTGGCGAACACTTGTAGATTTTGTAACACATTCAAGTATACAACAGCAGTCAATGAATTTAAGATTTTGATTTTAATAGCCCTAATTCAGTTTTGAATTTATTCTACTAGATTCTATATATTTAACTAAATTTTCTGAAAATTTTTACTGGCCCGAACTATTTTTCACTGGCCCTGGGACATAAGATAATAATGGGCCAACGGGCCAGTTCTAAATTCGATGACAGCAACAGTAATTTCCCTTAGTTTAAAGTCCTACACTAATATCATTCTCAAAGTGACATTTTTCTATGTTCAGTGTCTGATTGATTTTCTTTTATCCCCATGCATCCGAACATGTTTATGTTAATATGTAATGGACAACTTTTAATAAACTTTTTTGCATTCCTTGAAATCTTGAACGAGTATGAAACTTACATATAAAACTTTGTATAAGTACGTATTTACAAAAATAAATTGGCCAGGCGCCGCACACGTACAGTACTAAAAAATTTTAACCGGCTTAGTGTTTACACTCTCAACATGTCTCCACCCTCTAGTGTCACGCCATATTGATTGACACCCCAAAACACAAAAATCATGCCTGTCAATATCGGCGACGTCTGATCTTTTACCGCCTAATATGCAAAGTAATCTCACTTAGCTGGCTCTAATAATTCGTGAAGGTCAAGGATTATGTGTAATGTTTATAGTTGTGGTGTTTATAAGGACATTGGAATTCGAATTCATGACGAAGGATTGTGTTTACCGTGCTTTAACAAATAAAATCTATGGAAGAGTAATTTGTTGGAACAAAGTAAGGTACCTGTCCAGCATTACCTTGTTTTCAATGTTGCTCTTTTACTTTAATTATTAATTGGAATATAAGTCTGGATGTAATACCTTTTCTCATTTTTATTCCAAAACTCATAGCAGCTTTTTGGCCCCTTTTTATATTGAATATAATTCGGTACAAGTAAGTAATGTTAATTTTAATATTTTATCAAAAAATTGAACTTCCCAACGTTTTCCATGACTCGTCTGAAAATATATAGTTCAAAGTATTGATTTACCTGAAATGGGGTCTCAGTTATTGCACCATGTATGGGCAATCAAGCTAGAATTCCCCATGTGTTGTTTATTTTTAAATGTCACAAGTTCTCTTAGGACATTAAAGTGACATTATGTTCATATTTTCATAGTCAAGTTGAGCTGAATTGACTTTTAAATATTTCAAAAGATTACTGTCAAAAATTAAATGGTGTTTGACCAACAGTTGATATTGGAAAATGTTTAAGATAAAATTATAAATACGCCTAAAATTTAAAAAGACTGCCTCACTCTTTTTTATAAACTATTAATAAAGAGTTATAGGTAAATTCTAATGTATCTTTACAGAATTTCATTTGGTTATGTGTGTTATTTTTTATTTATGTGAAATTGGAATTTCAAACAGTTAACATGTAACCAAAACCTTGTGTCTTTGTACATCTCACAACATCCCAAGTAATGAAGCACACTATGCAATTCTCCTGTCTGAGGAGAATATTCATTTTCTCAATTAAAATTTGCCTGTAAATTAAAATTAGTTTGTAAATTTAAGTTTTAGGGAAAGTTGGGATTTTCACTTAGGCCTAAAAAAATTGTTTGGTTAGGGTTACATCCTTTTCAAAAATAGGTAGAGTAGGTAGGCTTATTTTTTTTAATTTTATTTTTTATTAGGCTTTATATAAGAATGTTATTTTCATCATTGGAGAATGGTGTTAAAATTATCTTCTGTATAAGCATTTAAGGTTTTAAACTACATACTGAAAAGCAATTAAAAAAAATGAAAACATTTTTTTTTTTTTTTTAGATTTTCATTTGTTTTTCAAACTGACTATAAAAATGGTAGGGTTGGCGCCTATTCCGTAGGTGGGGTCGGGTAAACCGAACCAAATGTATTTTTTTTAGGCCTTATAACTTATAAGTCCAATACCCTTCATTCAATTGACTTAATACTTCACACAGTTGTTCAGGGCCATCACATGATGGTGTAAGATAACTCCATATTATTCTTTACACAGATTATTGCCCCTGATTGACTATAGAAGTTAGGTTAAAGTTTAGGGCAGGTTGGGATATTTATTAAAAACTTCTATACCATTTGTTCAATTGCCATAATACTTCACACGGTTGTTCAGGACCATCACACAATGAGGTTACATAACTCCATATCCTTAATATAAGTTATGGCCCCTGATTGACTTAGGTTAGAGTTTTAGGCAAGTGAAAGTTAAGGGCAAGTTGGGATTTTAATAAAAAAACTTCTATACCGTTCAATGTACTTAATAAAATTCAAAATTATTCATGACCATCTTACAACAAGAAACATAACTCCATTTTAACCCTAAATTCAAATTATGGCCCTTGATTTTTTTGTCTTTTGAATATTCTTAACCCAGGGTTGTCATTAACATTTTTTGCAGAAGGTTTGTTTTGAACTTGAGGCAGTCATTTCTGTCTTTATCATGCATAACAAAGAGTGTTTTCTTAGTTTTGAGGTGGCCCATAATGCATTTGAGACAGGCATTTTGGCCTCCTGCCGCCTCTTAATGACAACCCTGTAACCACATTTTCATAATGAGAAATTAAGTTATTTGAATGACTTGCGTCATTGATCAGGGGGGCTGGTGGGAGGGCAGCATCAAAATCCCCTTAAGTATCAATAATTTTAGTTAGGTTTGACATAAAGAGACCAAACTTGGTAATATAACATCATTATTGTATTCACTTCTTAGTCAAAGTGGCATAGTCAAGCACACTGGTTTACAACTGCTATTGTTATAATATGTTGTTACAATGTCATGTACTACAAAAAATCAGTAAGATATACCAGTACTTAAGTCCTGGTAGGTCTTTCTGATTTTTTTGTTTGCCTATCTTAAACTTTATTTCCAGATTCAAGCATTGGTGAACTTCTGAGGCGTCTCGGGTACGGGGAGTATGTGGCTGCATTTGAAGCTCAAAAGGTAGATAATTAGGGTTTTTCTTTATATTTAAAATGTGTAAATTGTATATAAATGATATTAATTTTTTTTAACTGCCTTTGGTCTGCAGGGGACTGTAAGATTATCTGGCTGCTGTCCCATATTAGGTTGGTACTACCGATAGTTTACTCTGCCTTTTTTCTTCTTTTGCTTTTTGATTTGTTTGGGTTGTCAGACCAAACAAATAATGGTAGCAAAGTTTCAGACCCTGATTCTGTTAATTGCTAATGCTGAAAGTAGTCAGCTTTTTTTTAAGCGGTTACTTCCCTTTATATGTACACTAACGCCGAAAAAATTCAGGGGAGATTACTGTGTAAAGATTGTCAAATGACAGGCGCATTAATTTTCAAGCAAAATAGTTCCGGAATGGTTAAAGATTTCTAATATTGTTTTATTTTTGATAGATATACATGCTTAATATAGTAAGCTTCATGATTATTTACATCTGTGTTAAAAAACAGGTTTAGTGTCAAAATAATAAGAGTTACAAACCCTAATTTAGAATAATATGGTTTTCTTCAGGCAGTTAACATATAACTTCACCGTGGCCGAGGGATTTGCACGCTCGCTTAGGAATTGAGAGGTCTGGAGTTCAAATCCCAGTTACGGCACCTCATTTTTTAAAAAATTGTTCAAGTCAAATAAACATTGAATTGAATATCAGTGTTGCAATTAGTCTTATAGCCAATTTACTACAATTAAAACGCTGGAGGAAAGTATTGGTGGCACTATACAAAAACAAATTGGTTTATAATCTCACAACCTTCACCTTTCTGACATTCTAAAACCCAAACAAATTCAGCACCTTCTGTGCTTTGATTTTAATATTCTCTGTGTTTCTTATTGTCTTTCTGTACATTGTTTATATAATCCACATACAACAACTTTATTACTTTTTCACCAAACACATGTCTTCCAGATGCTATTTACATGTAAGCTTCATGTACTTAAACTGTTACTTAAAACTACTCCAACTACATTACTTGGCAAATGTTGATCAAACTTGGATGTACGTAATTGTTCCTTAGGTGGTCCCTATCAACTAAGCTTTGGTAAGATTTTTATAAGTCTGTGCAGATATCTGGTTGCAGCCAAATGAAAAATTGTTTTTCTGAATATATGCAAAGCATGAAGATTTGATGTTTGGCAATTACATCATGTGGCTAATTTACCTTTCATGCATATAAAAGTAAACTATAAAAGGTTAACAGTACTATGAAAGGTCATATTTTGTGGAATACTTTTTTCAAAACTGCAAGTTAGGCCATCCTTATGGCTTAAAAAAATGTTTGTTTGCAGTAACCCGACCCAGAATTTTCAAGGTGGGTAGGTAGGTCGATTTTTTTATTATTATTGAGCTGTACTCCCAAATAAACATGGAATTTCAAAATCTGGACAAATATATGCTTTGATAATCTGGTAACAATTAATAAATTGATAACTGAATTCTAATTTAATAAGAACTACATTTTGTTTCTTCTATTAACCTTTAAAAGAACAAAAACAAAGCACAAGGCATAATTTTCTGATTCCCAAAAAAAAAATTATTCAGACCATGAAAAAAAAAATTTGAGTAGGGGCAAATTTTGTGAGTTGGTCGCGTTACTGCAAACAAACATTTTTTTAAGGATGGCCCTATTGTTTAAGTTTTATCTACAATAGGGATAACTATAGGATAATAAAGTTGACTCTCCTAAACACAATTGTAATGATTCTCACAGGTCTTTTCATATGAAAGTCAAACTATTGAATTTTCTCCTGCTTCTTAAGCTGGGAAACTGTGACATGGAAAATAATTATATCAACACTTTTTTAAATAGATTTGTGAGTGTTTTTTTTTAATAAAATCTGTATGCAAATCATTTTACCTGATAATTTCAGTACTGGTTAGTATGTCTGGTTAGTATGTCGCTGCACTCTCACAGATTAACCGTTTTTTCAACTTTTATATTTTTTGTTATAGAATGAGCCAACTTTTGTGTAAATGTCTGGAAACCATTGACAATACAAGATTGCTGACAAAAGATCAGACTGCAGTTTTTTTATGTTTATGTTCGATAATTGATAGTTTATGGCTAAAAGTGTTACTAACGCTTTAAGAAAAAAAACAAGTTTTGGGATTTCAAATATATTCTGTTGTGAGTCATATGATGTATGTGACTGATCTGAAGCAATTGATACCCAAAAAATTCAAAACTATAAACCTGTGAGAGTGCAGCTTTACTTATACTTCTTTGAAATTGAAATTATATAAATAAGAGTACTATTGAAGACTCAGACTGACCCAGTGACCTACAATTGGATAAAGGTGCACTTTTACAGATACATGAAGACCAATTTAACAACTTTTTTTATTCATATATATTTTTTTTGGATTGAGCCCATTTTTGCATTATGCCTGGAAAACTGAATTATACAAGACTGCTGACAAAATTATCATATTGCATTATTTCTTATTTGCGTTTGAAATTTAATGTTTTCGCTTTACCAACACTTTTTGGAAAAAAAATTCTTTGTGCAGTTTTCAAAACTTATAATTGAGAGTTGTTTATTTTGTGGGTTATCTTATATGACTGAATAAATGAATGCATTGATAACAAAATCAGCTGATTCTGAGACAAAAACTTACAGTCAAACTGTGAGTGAACAGATGTATGCTCAATAAACCATTTCAACCACTTTTATCAGTTTGTGTGCTGATTTCAGATTTATATTGGATGACTTTTGAATGGCAAATTGCATTTCTGTATTTCTTTTATTCCAGATCAGCATTGAGCAAGTAGAGTTCATGACCGAAGATGATTTTCAAAAAGTGGGCCTTCATACAGTTGGAATGCGCCTGAAAATAAAGCAGGCTTTCCGGAACTTTTTAAAAGGTAGGAGTAAATTGAATAACAATTATTAGAAATTAGTATTTGTATGAGTTAAAAATCAATATATTATTGAGTGCGGTGGTACATGTACTTGACTTGAGTTTAAAAATGAGTGAGCCTTTTGTAGTGATTGGCCTATCATCGGATACAATCAATTAACTACATGCAAAGTTCAACCGATACCAATAATCAATTATGTTTCTTGTCATCGATTAATTGGTAGGAATATTTCAAACTATTAAACCAGAGTAAAATGCAAAGTGATTTGAAAGGGGAGTTTTTCATTTTACAAAATTTGGCTCATCAGTAAAAATTAAATCATCCTTTTTTCAAAACCATTGATAAGTCAGTGGTCTAGAAAACCTAAATAAATTACTGAAATCAGGGTAAGACGTTAAGTGAACTTTATATGAATATTGCAGTTTGCCTATAATTTTGTTAAAAAGACTACTTAAATGTTTTTCATTTTTGACAGGTATTTGATATTATATACATAATTGGCAAAACAAACACATTGCAAGTGTTTAACAAAAATAAACTGAACCATTTATTATTTTGATCAATGAGAAAAAAATCTTACCAATATCAACCGTTAAAGGGGCTGTACTCTATGATAAAATAGTGGGGAAAAAAGAAAATTGTTTAAAAAAGACACAAACTTGGCATTGATGTGTACAAGGCATTGAAACTGAAGTACCACATAGATAACAATTTATATAAGTTGAGCAGTTATTTTGTATTTTCCATTATAAAAGATCACTGGGTATGTCTACCAGTTAGAATTTATTCCTAGTATGCGTGATTGGCTATTCGGTGTTATCACATGATATTACCGAGGTAGGTGTATAGCTTAATTATGTCACCCAATTAGAGTAAGCCGTCGTAGCTCAGTGGATACGATGCTGGACTGTAATGTTGGCAACACAGGTTCGAACCTGGTCTCCGACACAATTTTTTTTTTTTTACAATTTTTAGTACTTTTTTTTACATTTATGATATCAAAGCGTAACACATTCTATTAGATAATTGTCTTGAGATTCGTTACAGAAAAAAATCTCTTTTTTTGTGCCAATCTGGTGTACAGTCCCTTTAAAAAGATAGCAGTTTTGAACTAATGTGCCATTATGAGCATATTGGCAAAGAAGAATAACTCTGCCTCTTTTTAAAAGGTCTGAGAGCTGATCAAAATATTAAGATAAAACTAAAATTCACTATTTAAAATTGTACTTAATAAATGAATCAATGTAAAATTCAATATTTAGCTTCACATCCCTGTGCATCAAGGCCAAATTTTCCTGAAATGTTCATTATATACCAATAATACCAATATAAAACCTGAAAAATATGTATTTATATTACAGAGTTGGTTATTTTGCATTTACAGGAAATCCCCAATCCCAAGTGGTGGACAAGTTTAGAGAACTTTCACAATCTAGAAAGAAAAGAAGGGCAGTGCACAATGAAAAACGCAATATCAACAGAAATGAAAAGCTGAGGAGGCGATTATATGTAGGCTGGAAACACCAGACCAAAGCAACTGGTTCTTTCAAAGTTGTATCTGCTAGCAAGGGTGGGGGTCAACAAACATTGGATGTCAGAAAAGAAAGCTCCTATACTGAACTGGTTAAGTTGATATGTGATTGCTATTTCCCAAATGGTTACAGCAAATGGCAGGATTTGAATCTGAATGATGTAACATATTTCATCGGGAACTTCACTGGTGAACCAGTACCAACAATGGATGGTGATTTCACATTCGCCAAGTACCTGTCTAAACAAGCGTCTTACCCCGTGAGATTGTACCTTCACACTGAAACAGTACATGTAAGTGATATAAATCATCAATAAATAGTGTAAGGTAAATGGAAAGCAATGACTGCTTTGCATGTATGAAATGTACATTCTGTTGTGATATTTAATTAAAGGCTTAACATTTTGGTTGCATCTATATATTTTTTTTATATGATCTGTATACTGATAAAAAGCACACTCCTGCATATTTTAAATTGGATTTTTTTTTGTGACAAAGATGGATGTGGGGCATTTTTAAGTTGGTTCTGAAATCTACAAATGCAATATAATTATATTTTAAATTGAATTGGTATATAAATCATTAGTCATAGTGCAATGACAATCACCAAAAAGGAGGCTCAGAAAAAAAAAGAAGGCAATGTTTTTCTGCCCCCCCCCCCCCCATAAGGGTTTGGGCATAAAGATTTACCCTTGTCTATCTGTCTCATGTTGTGTTGCATGAAGCTTAAAAAGTATTTGCCCTAGAGTCATGAAACTTTACAGGAATATTGGTCAGCATGTGTAGTTGTGCACCTGCGTGTTTGCATGTAGATTAATTCTGTTTTTTTTAGAGTTACGACCCTTGACTTAGTAAAAATTTTCAATTTGTTGTAAGTGCAGCTCAAAAAGTAGTTTACCTAGAGTCATAAAACTTAAAAGGAATGTTAGTCAGCATTTGCAGTTGTGCACCTGGAGTTTTGCTTGTGGATTAACTCTGTTTTGTTAGAGTAACTGCCCTTGATTTAGTAAAAATTTGTAATTTTCATCTTGTGTTGCATGTAGCTAAAAAAATATGTGACATATAGTCGTGAAACTTTACGGAAATGTTGATCAGCATGTGCAGATATGCACCTGGTGTTTTGCTTGTAGATTCATTCTGTCTTGTGAGAGTTATTGCCCTTGACATAGTAAACAAAATAATAATTTGTTGATCAGCATGTGTCTTTATGCATCTTGTATTTGGTATTTGTAGAGTTTTTTTTTGCCTTTGTCTAAGAAAAGGATTTTCAGTTTTCAACTTGTGTCACATGTAGCCTAAAAACAATTAACCTAGAGTCAGTAGATTTACAAAACAGTGGAGTGTGGGGGCACCAGTGTCCTATGGACACATTTCTAGTCTTCCAATATTCAGTTAAATGTATCTTTCCAGCAACAGGAGCCATCAGTTGTGCAGATACAGTCACACATGACAACAGCCCAGGTTCCGCTGTCACAAGTAACAAGTGAATCAGCTTCAACAACACAGGCATCTGAATCAGGACAGGGGCCACTAAACTACACAGATGCAGGTACACCTACAGTCCAGTTTCAACAACGCAGATCTTTATCACTGGTGAGCTTTTTCTATGTAACAGCTTTACAATTATTACAATAATATAATACAATAATTAAGCATATTATCATATCTGTGTGTCTTCCTCTTTGACTTTTGAGGGGCAAAGACAGAAAGAAAAGAAATGGCAGAAATTATCAGCCATGAATAAGGCTATAAAACCCAATCTTGGTAAACCAAGGGTTCAATTGCTTTTTCACAGACATGTTATCTAGCCTTGTAAATGGAAATTACCATTACAATTATCACTTTTTTTCTTTCAGTCTGGCAGGGCAAGAACAAATGACCATCCTTCTATATCAGCCAGATTTAACAAGCCTGGTGATATCTCTAGGTATAACTCTATGTTTCATAAATTGATTCATATGGTGATTGATTTGTCATAATTATGTGCGTAATGTTGTTGCTTGCCAAAATACAACAAAGCCTAAGATGGTGCTTTATCGTCTTGTCATGACATGTTGCAAGCAAAGCACACCAAACAGTATATTGTTAATGTCACATTGCACATGCAGTTTTATATATTTCACTAGCTTCAAGTTTAAATGGCAATAACTATATATGTTGTGCTACAATGCAACATGCAAAAGTGTAACAAATCAGCCACCATAGATTAATGTCAACTTTCTCATAATAATTTAGAAAATCATGAATGTTAATTTTATGCTTTTCACTGTTTATGTTATGCTTTACACTGGATTACTGTTTTATTTGAAAATGTTTAAAATAACATATTATGTTACATGTTACATAAGTTCTTACAAAGTCACTTTCAATTAATATTTAATAAGGTATTTTGACATGTTACTATTGCCAAAACAACTATGCTTGTTTTCAGTCCTATAGAAGTTACTGATTATTTTGATGGTGAAGATGAAACGATTGATAATACTAAGGATGCAGAAACACTTGGAACTGAAATTGTGGTAAGCCATTTTTTGTGTAAAAATATTGTGTTGTGATATTGTTAACACCTTCACTGCCATACTGTTATTTTCGGCCTATTTGCCATATGGACGGCTTTTGCCGTCTCTATAATAATCATAATAATAAATTAATAATAATAATAAAATAATGATAATATAAAGAAAATTATACCATCGACAATAATTATAATTATACTAGCATATTTGGAAACATATTTAACTATCATAATACTAGTAACAAATAATAATAATAATTATATCAATTAATAATATAGTAATTTCTTAGAAAACCCTCTGGCAAATAGGTGATCAATAAAACATTAAACCCTCTGGCAGCGAAAGGGTTAAATATTATGCATTGGACTTTCCTGTGAAGTTACAAGGACAGGAAGAATGGTTTGATTGAATCTTTGGCATTTTGAGGCAAAGACAAAACAACATGATAAAAATAGAGTGCCGACACAAAGATTTCTACCCATCAACACTATATTTTAACAGAAGAAAATCTCGGGTCTTTGCCTGTTAAAATGCTATTATTTCGTTTAATAATTACTTATAGTGTCATTGCCCTAAATAGTCAAAGGCAGAGGCACGTTAATATGCTCAATTATTGTGTCTTTGCCTTCGACTTTTGATGGGCGAAGACCCCAAGACATAAAATGGCAAAAACCAGTCACCATTCATTAAAATTTGAAATTGTCTTGAATACTACATAAGAATTTAATTTAATTTCATTGTTGAAAGATTTTTTGGGCCATGATTTATAAAATACTTTTCTTTTTAATTTATAACAATCAAATTACACCAGTAAAAAGACAAATGTGTGTTTGATTTGTTTTCTTTGATTATAAAACAAAGGAGCAAGGGCAAAGAAATATGGACATGACAGGGAGTGTTAGGTATTGTTAGTGCATGCAGTTATAGTTATGTTCAAGTTAATTTTCTGCTAGCTCTTCTTTATTTTGAAAAGAAATAAGAAGTATTGGCTAAATAAACTCCTGTTGTTGTTCCCAAAACTTGAATATAGATCATAACAGTTAAGATTCTTTATGTATTGCATTCATAATTGGCCATAATAACACTTGGGACAAGCCCGTAAAGTAAATTAGACTAAACTTGACCTTCATTCATAAAGACCTTGACATTGAAGATTATATATCTAATTATTGCTTGATTTTTGTTATAATTGCCTATATAACTTGATTTTAATGGATTTTCTTCATACTTTGAATGCAACAATCTTCTAGGATAGACTTTTAATGAAACCAAACAGACTTTGACGTTCATTCTTAAATAATCTTAAACCTTGAAGGTAAAATTATTGTAATTTTTTTTTGCTGTAAGTGGCTATAACTTTTAATTACTACATCAACTTCATATTAAGACATAACATTATTGTAAGACCTTTATATATACCATATTCAAATTGTGTTTGACTCATTATGACCTTGACCTGAAGGTCAATTTATTGGAATTTTACATAATTTTGCTATAATTAACTATATTATTAAACTTGGTACATAATAAATGGGTTATCCTCATACTTTGACAAAACAAACTTTACAATTATACCTTGTAAATGGGTGATTTGACCTTGAGCTTCAAATGACCTTTACTTTCAAGGTTAAATTATTGAATTTATGTGGGGGGTGGCCAAGTGGTTAATCTGTTGGACTAGTAATCTAAGTATTGGTGGCTGTATGGGTGCTTACCCCATCAGGGACAAGCAATTGTTTCCTTGAGCAAGAAATTTACACTCATTGCTCAGTACTGGTTGGTTCAAGGAACGGATTCAAGAGACTGTTTCAATACGCTTATAGCTTCAAACCCAGTCAAACTAAAATAAATTAGTATAAACGAAATTACATGTATTTAATTATGGTATAATTGTTAAAATTTTTGTTATTTATGTACAGATAAGATTTATACTTGAACAAAACAAGACTTGCTAACAAACAAACAAATTGAATTGTTTAGATATGACCTTAACCTTTTATTGACCTTGACCATGAAGGTCAGATTATTGGATTTTTATTAAAGATATACTATGCTCAAATTTGATATTAAAAATATTGACAATTGCTACAGTCTGTCAGACTCTTTGTAAATATAAAATAAACATATTTTGACTTAAAACAAAGTAGATAAGTTATGTTTACAAGTCTACACACTATAGGTTGTCACAATATGAATACATGTATATAGTGTCATTAAAAAAAAAGGCAGTTTTTTAAGAAAAGGCAAACTTTACTTGACAACGCAGCTTTCAATACATAGTTAAATCATTATGTTATTTAAGTTAGACATATTCAGTAAGAATTTCATAGATTTCAATAAGTTTCTGTGGTTAAAATATTTTAATCAATGATGAGAAAAGTATATCTTTAAATTTTCATAATTTCCTGATTTATGTACAGATTTGATTGATACTTGGACAAAACAAGATTCATTAAGAAGTTACCCCGATCTTTAGTTAACCTTGACTTGCTAGGTCAAGTTAATGAAATTCTCTTTTTTTATACACAAGTCCACTTTTTGTTTAGAGCATATCACCTACATGCATGGAGGGATTTTAATGAAACTTCATAGAAATATTCACCACTATGAGAAGCCGTGTCACGGGCATGAACAATATCTCTAGATCAGAGGTCAAGGTCACACAAAGAGGTCATTGGAAAACTAAACTTCTACATGCATAGTAGGATTTCAATATTACTTCACTCAAATGGTCAAAGTTCAAATGAAAGTATAAAATGTGTATATAGTCCTCTTTTATTTAGGAATTGTAACACAAATGGTCATTGTTATGACAACATCTGTGACACATGTAATTTAGGTCAAGGTCACTGAAGGTAATGAAAAATAAAAATTTGTCTAGAGCATAACTCCTACACACATTGAGGGATTTAATGAAACTTCATAGAAATGTACACCACTATGAGAAGCCATGTTGCTGGCATGAACAAGATATCTAGATCAAAGGTGAATAGAGGTGATTGAAAGAATGCTTGTCCAGAGCAAAGCTTCTACATGCATAGAGGGATTTCAATATTACTTTGCCTAAATGTTCACCAATGTGAGGTGTAAATGTCAAGTATCATGTTAAATTTACATGTCAATTAACAGTTAATTAAACAATTGTTAAATCAGAAAATTGATTATTGTTGTTATGATTAACTTTCTGCTATAGATCTAGTTCTAGTTTAGTTGTTTATTCAAAGTTTATTTCCCATATTGTTTTCAAAGTTTATTTCCGAAATTGGTTTGAGTGTAATTTTATTAAATTGCTTTGCTTAGTGCTTTGTATTTTTATCATTATTGAAGACAAAGCCATGACCTATTGATAGATGAATTTATGATGCTTAATTATATCAAAAGGATATTAATACATAATTCTAACACTATTGGAAATTTTTCTATATGTGATGTCACAATGTAGCGCCAAACAGCATGTGCACGACAATGAAATAAAGTACACTATTTTAATGTCGCAAAACAAGTTAAGTTTTACATTTATTTCACTTTTAATAATTTGTATTTTGCTTGAAAATTATAGAGAAAATTATAGAAAATTATTATGAAATAAAATAAACAAACAAAATTATATCAATGTTTTCAAAATTCATTATTCTCAAAATGTTTCTACACACGGTAGATTTGACAGTTTTTTTTCAACCATCAGGAACAGCTTTTAAAGAACGTTTCTATTGGAAACTCTGAGGCGAAAACAAATTTAACCACCAAACATAAAGTCCAACTATATAATAATAATTATATTTTTTCTTGATGTGTTAGAATGGAAATATATATTAATTCTTCGTGCATTATTGTATAATAATGCACGTTTTTCGTTCAAATGCTTTGTAATTAATCACTCAGGCCTAATCGACCTTCGTGATTATATTACTACACATTTGAACTCAAACCGTGCATTATTCTACAACAATGCACTCATAATTGATATCTATTTCCTAAATAAAAAGTAAATATCTAAATCTTCTTACTGCAAGTGTCTACATAATAACTACAGTATCTATAGAAAGAAAATGTCAATGATTATAAGCTGTGGTTCTTGAGTTCTTATTCAGACAACATCTTAGGTTTTTGGTATGAAACATAATGTCTAAGGTGAGCCTCCTTAAGAAATTGTACAAATTATACAAATGTGCAAAGTAAAAACTTACCTCTAAAGCTACAAGAGCTAAAGCTTTTTTTAGTCCCCTATCGATTTAACCGGGGGGGACTTTAGGTTTAATTTACTGGAATAACCAGCATTTTTTAAACTGTAAAATAAAGAGAAAAATCACTGTATTATTAGTCTGTTGTCACTGTATGAAATTATAGTGTAATCTATCATATATTTTGTAACTTCTAAATGGTTTGAGGTAAAAGTTAGATAGTTTGGACTAGACCTTCAAGTAGACCGTGAATATTAATCTTGATCTTTAAAGGTCAAATCATTGAATTTCCCTGGATTTTTGCTACAACAATAGAACTATAAGTCAAAGTTAAATGGACTTGTATATGATAAAAACTTTATCATAAACTTCCACTAAAATGTGCCATTTTTACATTCATTTTTTGCAGTATCATGCAATTGTAACTATCAAGTCACTTAATGACATTTTTCCTAATCACTGTGTGCAATGCCATTTTGAATGTTCCAATATATTTCCCAGTACACAAATCTAAATCAAGCAATGGTACTCTGCACTTCTAGATTTTTTTGTTATTGCCTTTTGTTACTTTTCATACTTAACAGACTTGACCAGAGCATACCTTGGTCACTATAAGTTTGATTGACTCCAAATATTGTATGCAAGCTTTTTTCATTGAACTGAAGTGCAGTGGACAAGAATCCATCTCAGTCCACCATTTGATTTGTCAGTGTAAAATTTTTCCACAGTATTTTTAATTTTGATAATATATATGTAATAGTTTTGTAGTTTGATATTTCTTAGCATGTAAAAAATATATTTAAAGGGAAAATTGCTTCATATATAGTTGTTGAGTATTTACATTGTACATTAAAATAAAGGGAAGTAATAATAAACATTTCGTTTTCAAATGAAACATAACTTTGACATTAAATTGTTTTTGTTATTGTTAAAACAGTATATAATTATGTAATTCTGATGATTGGTTAAAAATTTGGTATACTTTGAGAAATTTTAAAACCATTGTAAACATTATATTGTGAGTTAAATATAAACTCCTGTTTGCATCACTGTAATGTAATAGGTGGATTTCACAGGTCCTAAGTTTGTTGTAAGGTAATGGTAACACCTTGATAGGCTACACTGCTGCTGGTGAAGTTGTGCTAATTAACACTTCAGAAATTATATTTGATGAAATCATATTGAGATAAATTAAACATTGGGAATATTATCTTATTGCACAAAATTAAATGTCATCAATTTGATCTGTTTTGTTGTTACTTTTGCTAAATTAGGCCCAATGTTCGAACCATTCGGGACTGTAGTCACCCCATAAACTAATCTGGCTACATATATATAACAGTTTTATCCTGACATGACAATGTACAAATACCACTAAAGTAAAAGGTACATGAACATTGCAAGAGCAATGTTTATAAATAATCTATATTTTAAGAAGAAAATGCCTAACTGACATCTGCAATTTTGACAGGGCAACGCATTCAACTCACAGATTTCTAGTTTGTATTAAATGCATTTAACCTGATCTTTTGATATTAATGAATGTAGTTATATATACTTATGCTTATGTTAAATTATAAACCGCCAATTATAGAACTTGGCAATGAATGTGAAAAATGTGTATGCCAATAAAGTATATGATTATTTGATTGATATAAGGTTTATAATTTGCAGTACTGTGACTGAGGATTGTCCAATTTGTGCTAAATCTATAGATGTGACCTTATTAGAAACTCATGCCTCTACATGTGGTGAAGATGATCTTGAGGTAGATATTCCTCCAGGGATGTGTGTAGACAAGGAAGCAGAGATTGAGGACTTGGAGCAGTAAGTTAAAAAAAAACAATTCTTCCATAAAAAATTGATGATGTCATTATATGTATTGGTTGAGGGAATTTTGATTTGAGGACTAAAGGAACTCCACTGAGGTTTATTAGGCTTTATTGCATGCTTTTCGGTGGTTTATAGAAATGTTTGAAACAGTGATATTACCACTTTGATAATTTCACTGATTTGAATTTAAGCCCCTTACGTTGTTTCAGTGAAATACCAGCGTGCACAGTACTGGGTACCAATTTGATGACGTCACGTTTTATTATTATTTGGCGCGCTTTCATTCAGTATTTGGTTTAATGTCTTTTTAAAACGTTTCTTTGCATGTAATAAAAAGAAAATTTGTTTAGTTTAGTGTAAGATCGAAATATGTTTCACCTAATGAACACCAAATGTTAATATTTCACTTGTGGCTGCGCCACTCGTGATATATACCTTTTTGGTGCTTACTCGGTGAAATATATTCCGATCTTACACTTAACTAAACAAATATCCTCTATAAAAACATAAAATTTTAATTTTTTCACATAGATCATCATGAGCACTTAAAACAGAAATATAAATAAAATATAATTAAGAAAATTACAAGTAACATTGAAAATCGTAAGTTTGTGATAT